CTCGCGTTTGAACGCCCGAGGCAGCGAATCCCTGGGAAGGGTTGCGCCGGGCGCCTAAAATGTGTAACTTTACCTCGCGTTTGAACGCCCGAGGAGGCGAATCCCTGGGAAGGGTGCGAAGCGCACCGCAAAATGTGTAACTTTACTTCGTTTGAACGCCCGAGGAGGCGAATCCTTGTGAAGGGTTGCGCCGGGCGCCTAAAATGTGTAACTTTACCTCGCGTTTGAACGCCCGAGGCAGCGAATCCCTGGGAAGGGTTGCGCCGGGCGCCTAAAATGTGTCACTTTACCTAGCGTTTGAACGCCCGAGGCAGCGAATCCCTGGGAAGGGTTGCATTCCCGATGGACCCCGACGGTGCCACCCCCGCCAATATTAAGAAATATTAAGATACCGAGATGTAGAGAGTAAGTCATAAGTCATAGAGAGTAAGTCATAAGTCATAGTAAGTCATAGATGCATAGAGAGTCAGTCATAAGTAAGTAAGTATAGTAAGTATAAGTAAGCAAGTCAAGTAAGTAAGTAAGTAAGTATAGAGATAGCATAACATAGAGTCCAGTGTCAAGTGTCAAGTAAGTAAGTAGTAAGTAAGATTGAAGTAAGTAAGTAAGTAAGTCGTAAGCATAACATAGAGTCAAGTATCAAGTGTAGAGTCAAGTATCATAGAGTCAAGTGTCAAGTGTAGAGAGTCAGTCATAAGGGTCAAGTAAGTAAGTAAGTATCAAGTGTAGAGTCAAGTATCAAGTGTAGAGTGTAGAGTAAAGTATGGAATCAAGTGAGTTGATTCTATGTCTGTCATCTATGTACTCAGCTGCGGCGTTCCACACGGAAGAACCCTTCGCGATGCTTTCGGGAAAAGAGAGCGGAGACGGAGAAGGAGAAGTTTGGTGAAGAGTTTTCCTGGAGTAGAAGAGAGAACGATGGGGCGCAGATCTTTAGGCTTGCAAGGGGTTTTGGTTTTTGGCAAAAAAACAACTTGTGATTTGAGCCAGGACGCCGGAATAGGCCGGGTCCCTTGCAAAACCGAATTAAAAAAGTTTCGAAAGCTGGCTTCGAGGGGAGACTGAAGGATGGAATACATGAGCTCGTAAGGCACTCCATCGGCGCCACTGCTCTTGCCGGCCTTAGTTGTTCCGAGGACGTCCTGCAGTTCCTTAGTGGAGAAGGGAGATGCGTTAGGGAGTTCCCCCACAGCTTCGCGATACATCGTCAGGGGAAAGTCGCGTGGCCGGGGGTCAGCAGGTGTATACTTGGCTTTGTAGAACGTCTTAAGGTCCTGAGAGGCCCTAAGCTCGCCTCCTGCTCGCATCATGTAGCCTCCCTGGGCTGCCTTAGTGCTCTGTCTGCGTTTGAAGAATGACACCGCGTGGTAGTCTCCCTTCGATCCTCTCTCGAGAAGGGTTGAGAACCAAGACTTCTTAGCGATGGATCGCGCAGTGGCGATGTTGTGGGCCAGTTTCCTGGCTTCGGCTCCGGTAGCGCGCCTGCGGGCTGCGATCATATCCTTAATTTCAGGTCCATCCCTATATCGAAGTGAACTCGGGCGGAAACATACCTTAGCCGCTAGACTCTCGAGGGTCTTCTCATCAAGGTCCAGACTGTGCAGTTCAAGTTGTTCCTGCAGGGCTACGCAGAAATCGGGGGCCGATTGAAGGTTTACACGCCACTTACCGCATTTGGTAGAGTGCCGGGCATACCTGGAAAAACGAGAGGACGACTTGGTAGAGGCATGCTTGAGCCCCGCCGTGCAGCAGCGGTGATCGGTCCTGAGCAAGTCGTCCGACCCCACCAGAACCTCCGACAGCACAAGAGTCTGCAAGCCCTGGGAAAACAGCACGTAGTCTATTCGCGAGTTCGCCCCCCGGGTATTGGACCAGGTGTGCAGGTCGGGGTGCGTTCGGAGTAGCCCAAACTGGTGCATAAACCCATCCAACATCAGACGTCTATCATCATTCTCTGAAGCCGCAAGAGAAGTCAAATCAAGATTAAGATCCGCCAGAATGGTGGTCGTGTCATGCATCCGAATCCCATCTAACAGATCTCGAAGCTGATGCAGCTGCTCCTGCCAGATCTGTGAGCAGTCGGCCCTTTGTCGATGGGGCAGATGCAAACTAATTACGAATTCCTTGCAACCAGAATGCTTAATTACAACTGCAAGACCTGTCAAAAAGAGGCTTGACCTGAATTACATGCTGCAACGAGTCGAGAGGAATGCCGACTACGGTGCCATGAAAACTCTGGGGGGGGAAGCAGGAGAAAACGGCATAGGAAGAGGAACCAAGGCGAGCTTCGTCCTGTTCCCAGCCCGAGTGGGCGAGTTCTTTCAAGCCACCCACTTCCTGAAATGCAAAAAAGTCAATTCCCTCACCACCCAGCAAATCCCAGCAACCCGAAACGTCTTCGAGTGTTTTTCCCCGAAGATTCCAGGTACGCATGTACGTGACATGTGCATGGCAGGGTGCGCGCCCCTACGGGCGCTTGGTGATGCGGTTGTCCCAGAGCTCCTGAAGACCGGTCGAAGCCAGTCCTGTCGCCTTAGTGAAAGCGGCCCCCTTGATGTACCATCCTGAGTGGTTTCCCCGAGCATCGGCCAGGGGAAAATCCTCATCCTGGAGGGGTTCGGGGGAATCAGGAGACCCCAGCACGTTGATGTTGCCAACAAAAAGCTTACCCCGCCAGTCAATCTCGGATAGGCGTTTCGTGAACCCCTGCGCAAAGGTCAGTTGGTCAACGAACTCTTTAACGGAGACGATAGCACGGATCTACGGTCCTCCGGGGTCCTGTGTCGCTGTATCCATATTTCCCTACACTCCTGGCCAGGGATGTTGCTCAGAAACTTCTTGGATTTCAACTTGTCGACAACCTGCGTTTGAAAGGCTCTCTGTTGGGGGACTGTTGTGCAATTATCGGGGAATTGCAGGGAAACACGAACGTGCGAGGTGCGGGAATATGGGCTCCAAATGTCAAGCCAGGCTTTCTCGAGTTTCATGGCTTCGAAGACTGCTTTCGCCTCTTCCACTGCCTCATCTCTTCTTGCATCCTCCCAGCCTCCGATCGCAAGCTGAAGCTCTTCCTCAATATTCCTCTCACTGCGGGGGCTGTTGCCTCTGGGGGAAGGGGGGGCTCTCTGTGGCGTCGGCGACCTCGAAGCTGCACGCAAGTCTCTCACTTCCCTTTCGAGAGCAGAAATTCGAAGATGGTGGGCCTCTCCTCGCTCGGTGTGCTCTTTGAGAACTGCGTCGTGAGTGTCAAGACGAACTTTGTGGTTCTGCAATTCGGAAGTAAAATGAACCATTTCACGGTGCATGTCTAGGTGCCTGACGTTCATATCCGAGACATCCTGCTTGAGAGGCTCAAGTTGGGTGAGGAGCCTGCCCTCCAAGGCCGCTACCCAGGGGGGTGTGTCCTGGTCGTAGGGCGTAGCTCTCTCTCTCTCTCTCTCTCTCTGTCCCTCCGAGAACGAAAGCCTGCAGGTGTCGAGAGGGGAACTGCGCCGCGCAACTCATCATCATTGTCTTCTTTCTTAACCGACGTGGTATCTTTATCAAGATCAAAGAACTCAGGACCTCCTCGTTTGCCAAGACTGCCAAAACCCGGTGCGTCGAGTCTGGCCAGTTTTGCGGGGGGGGGCTTTCGAGTAGAGGATTCACTCCCGGAGCTCTCTCTGTCGCTCTTTTTGACCAAGAGGCTTTCCAAGGCACTGGCGTGATGTCCGACAGTGATAGCCGGGGGTCCTGGGATATGCTCCTCCAGCGACTCTCTGGAACCGTGACAGTGGCTCCTGGCAGGAACCGGTACCGGTCCGCACGGCGGCTCTCCGATTCCTCCTCCAGCAGTAGTTACCGAAGCAGGGGAGGCAGTGTCAGTTTCCCTCTTATCTTCGTGGTCGCCTTCATCGTCAACTTCAATGCTTTGATTCAACATAACCCCTACTCGCTCAGATTCAAGCTCTCTGGCCCCGAAACCGAAAGGAACCGTTGTAGCTTGGCTCAAGGACACAGGTGGAGGGGGAACCTCTCCTGCGAGGGCCGAGTGTCCCGAAATCATCTTTTCAGTCTCACGAGAAGACAGGCCCTGTTTTCGGAGAGGAGGGAGGGAAAAGAGCGAGCGGAGTCAGAAGAGGGGGAGAAAGCCGGTTGCTGTCAGGCCAGGCTCGAGCCGAAATCTTGAGCCAAAATGTAATAGTGATAGTAATAGTAAAAGTAGTAGCAGTGTAGTAGGAGTAGGAGTAGCCGGAGTGGGAGTGGGAGTGGGAGTAGGAGCAGGAGTAGTAGGAGTAGGAGTCAGAGTCGGAGCAAGAGGAGGAGTAGCAGGAGCAGAAGGAGAGTGGTCGCCGTCGTAGCAAACAGTAGTACTACTAGAAGTTTTTGTCACCCACACTCTACTACTAGTCGTAGCATGTGGCCACTACTACCGGTGCTGCTACCACTCCTACAACTGCTAGCAGTAGCAGTCGTGGTACCAGCAGTAGTAGTAGTAGTCGTCGTAGTAGTAGTAGTAGCAGCAGTAGCAGTAGCAGTAGCAGTAGTAGTTAGCATTTTATTGGCTCCCGCATGGCAGCCTATATGGTAGGTATTCCGCAGTATAAGTGGGCGTAGTAGTCGCCGTCGCAGTAGCAGTGGCAGTGGTAGCAGCCGTGGTCGTCGTCCTCGTCGCAATCATTGTGGTAGTAGCAGTAGCAGTAGCGGTAGCAGTGGCAGTGGCAGTAGCAGTGGCAGTGGCAGTAGCAATAGCAGTACCACCACCACTACTACTACTACTACTACTACTCCTGCTGCTGCTGCCCCTGCTAACAGACGCGACGTGGCACGAACCGCATCATGGTTGGGGCATGGGTGCACTGGTAAGATGGATGTCGTCATGCTTGGAGCATGGATGCAGTGGTAAGATGGACATCATCATGCTCGGGGCATGGATACATGGGTAACATTCACCTCATCATTCATCAGTCTTCAGGTACGGATGCTTTGTCTCAAAGGACGCGCTGATAGCATGGACGTCATCATTGCTTGGGCGTGGGTGCTTTGTCTCGCAAAGGACGCTCGGGTAGCATGGACGTTATCATCCTGCGAGCATGCAGCCTCACGGGATGCACTGGCAGCGTGGATGTTACCATCGTACAAGCAGGGCTGCTCTGTTCCAGGGGATGCACCGGCAGCTGGCAACATGGACACGATAGCCGTTCGGGCAAGGACACTGCGTCCCAAGAATGCACTGGTAGCATAAATGACGAGTAGCGACGATGATATCGTCCGGGCATGGATGTCTGGCACCATGGACGTCGTCGTGGTTGGGCCCTGGACGGACAGGCGGCCTTGCTGCGGGCACTGCGAGCCTGGGCCCTGCTGCGCCCTGTCAAACACCCCCTCGATTTCGTCACCACCAGATTACCGACAGCAACAGCCGCCACCACCGCAACAACTACAACTACAACCACAGCAACAATCGCGGCAACAACAGCAACAGCAACCGCCACAAACACTAAGAGCACCAGCACCACAACAACCACAACACCACAACAATCGCAACCACAACGACAAACACCACCACAATGCATCATATCCACAGCTGTGGCGAGAACCACAACCACAACGACGAGGACGACAACGGAATCCACACAGCTCGAGCCTGGACAGAAGCCCATCGGAACCAATTCGCTTCCAGACTCGCCCTTTCCCAATGATAAGGCAATGAGCGCAACAGAGATGAGGACAAGGAAGCCCTCCGTTTTGCCACCTTGGTCGGAGACTTGTTCGTTTGGGCTTTGAAGCATGCAGGCAGTCAAGCCTCAGCACATGCCACCGTGCAGACAATACGTTTGACCGCAGAGATTGCTAGTAGGTTTCGTGTCTCCTGGCGACACTGATGCCACAGTTCCTCGCGCCCGGTGCTCCCCAACTTACCTTTCTTGGTGACACCCAAGCATGTGGACCTTGCCCGCCCTCCTCTAGGGTTCGTAGAGCTTGACCAAAATCAAATCTTTGGATTCTCAGGCTGGTGCCGCAGTGGGTTCTGGCTCAAAGAAACAAACGGCAGTGACCCTGGCAGCCTGCTTTTGTTTCAGTTATACCAAACCTTCTTCAATTCTCGCGGAAAGGAGCCGGGAAATCCGCTTGTGTGTGTGTGTGTGCTGGTGTGGATGAAGCATCCTAACCACCGATTGGGGCAGGCGAGGTAATATGGGTCAAGATGCAGGTGAGTGAGGAACGGAAAGGCTGGTTTTGCTAGGAGGTGACGTGGGGCAGTGTAGGCCTCGCACTGTCACCAACCTTGTGCAAACCCTAAGCCGCTGAGCCGTGGAAACAAGATGATGCGGGTTCATCCCAGACTCGGGTGACTGGGCAGCAGGAAAGAGAACAGGAATCCCACCTTCTGTAGCCGGATCCTGGAACAAAAGCTTCAAGATGCGCATCTTCTTCCGGCTGGCGATGAACCAGCAGCTCACACATCCTCCAGGGCATCTCCGATAGAAAAAACGACTACTGACTTTGGCACTTTGGGATTGCGAACAGTTTCCCAGCCTAACAGGACGCCCAGCGCCAGGGTTGCGACCAGGCGAAGGAAGTTTGCCAGAAGAATGGTCCCTAACGGGGTAGGAGCCTGGTGGGCCGGCGACGCCAGGCCTGTGAGAACCCCAAAGGCGGTCAGGGCGAACGAGGCCTCACAGGGAGTACTATGTCTCGTAACGTGCCACTGCGATGCAGATCACTCACCTCCAAGGGAGCCCATGCAAAGACCAGCCGCGGCAACGGATGATCCGGGAATGTCTGGGAGAACTCCTGCCACAGGCAGCGGTCCGAAACCACCTGCACTCCCTCACACCGTCTCGCCAACACGGTAGCTGCTACTGTACTAGCCGGTGGCAGCAGTGCTCGCAAACCAGCCTTCATTTTGGGGATGACCAGCCCGTCACCCATCGCGACAAGGACACTACCGAGCACCATCCCCTCGACCGGAGTGTATTCCAGCACCTTGGACACGACTGCATTTTGGGTCGGAACTTCATGTGCATCTCAAGCACCCCAGGCCCAAACCCAGCCCCCAGCAGCAAGCAAGCCAGACAGCGCTGTCCCGCGAGACTTCGCTGTCTTATGACCGCGAAAATCACCCACTTGCACCACACTATTGACTATTATAATGTATTTACCGGATATGTAATGTAAGCATGTAGGTACACAAAGATGTAGGTATATAGGTATTCATGTATGCCCTTTTTGTTCACGCCACTCTTGGTCACTGAGGACTGAGCTTTGTAAGCATACACAGCAATTCCAATCAGTTCGCAACTTGCAGGCAGCAATGCCATCCTTTGTTGCAGAAAGTCAGGCGCCATGCAATCTCGCGATGCTTCCAAGGTAGTTTGCTCGAGACATACATCGTGGTATCACTGGGGCATCATACTACCCAGCATGTTCGAGTGCAGCAGAGTGGCACAAAGATGTGTGCTTGCAAGTCTTTGGACCGAATCTCCAAGCCGGCAATGAGAAGCACTAGAAAAAACGAGAGCCTGGCGAACAAAGAACGCTTGCACTGCTTCTGATGTTCCACAGGCTGCAAGCATTGCAGACAGCATGGCACGGCCCCAACATCACGGTGCCCACCCTTGCAGCTCATCTCGGGCGAAGAAAAGGTCACTCTGGAAGAAGTGTTGGAATATAAAGCCGCTTAGCATCACTCCTGGCACGCGGAGTGAGCCAAGCTTAGTTGCGCAGCCGAAACGACGACATGGACGGGGCAAGGGCATGCAAAGCAACATGCACTCTACCAGCCTACCGATGCTGGCAAGCCCACGAAGACGAAAAAGGCCCTGATGAGGCACCTGACCGACCACAGCCTAGAGTGCTTCCACGCGCCCCAACCCGCACTTCTGCAGCTGGCCATCACTTAGCAGAGCAGCATCTCAACCAGGACAACTGATTCTGGAATCTGAGCTGGAGGCACCCGACTAGAAGGATGTATGCGAGCCCCAGGGCCACCGGGTATTCGTAGGTGGCCGTCTGCATCGTTGGGAACGACGCAGCAGCTCGGGACACAACTCAAACCATTCAAGGCTGCCGGGTTTCAACGTGTAATTGCTAGTTCTGCCTGATCATTCAGGTAATGTTATGAGTTCTGATCGCTGTCAGAATCAAAGGGTTGTTCTGCAAGGTGTCGTCTCGGTGCATGTCTTGTCGTCCGCACAATCTCTGCTTAAGCTTTGGCACCATCAGCGTACGTCGCAAGAAGTGTACTACACATGGCGCATTGCCGAAGAAGCGGTGCGCCGCACATGCTGTGCATTTTACTGCTGAAGGTGGGATGCTGCCGAGCTATCGCCAGCTCTCAGCGATCATTGCCATGTGAGAAGGGAGCTTACGACAGGACACGAGCTTTAGCGTCCACGGACAGCCCTCCCCACATGGCATTTTAAGCTTAGAAGTGCAGCTCTGAAGCCAGCACAAGGCCACATGAGGGCTGGATATGCATTCGCAGTTTTTGCGTGCATATGGAACGCAGAGGCAGCACATGCCTGTAGTTTCGAGGGTCTGACTTTTGCAAGTCCCCTGCAACACGCTCGACCGACCAGGTACCCTTCTCAGAATTGCAGAACTCGGCTGGATCATGGCTGAAACAAGACCCCAGAGATCGCCCTGCTAAGATCCGACGGTGTGTGGAGCTCGCTTGCCTCGGAAGGCTGCAAGTGCCGGACAGTACTGTGCATGTTGAACTTAGCCTTGCACATGCAGCCCATGCTTCGACCACCAGAAGCGCGACCTGAGACCAAGGGTTTGAAAGTTACTGCCGGGGTTTGGTCCCGCGACGGAACATGCTTAGTCAACGGGAAACTGTTCTGACAAGATAGGCTGTTTCATGCTGTTTCACAAGCTGAAGCCGCCACCGCGCACACCACCAGGGCAGTGCTCTGTGAAGGTACCTCCACCATTCCACACTCATGAACATCGGCACCGTGCATTCTCCACATGAACCGACACATACACCCGGGTCACGCGAAGAAGAACGGCGAGTGCAAATGCATTCTGCGGCACGCGGTAGAGGCTGTAGACGAGTGTCCCTTAGGGCTGTTCTGCTGTGCAGCGATATGCCGCAGACTGTGCACCTGTATCAAAACACGTAGCTACGAGTATAGATTCAAACATTTGGCCTGACGTGACTTCAACCGCGCCACTCACCCTGTCGGGCACCACGTGGCTCTTCACAGTGCTGATGCACGGGAAATAGATCCCCACGCACAACTCGAACAGCGCGAAAGCAGCCTGAGCACCAAAGTTCTGACAGGACACGACAGGACCAGACGACCAGAAGCGGCGGTCATAGTCAGAGGTGTAAGCCCACAAGATGCTAAGAAGGGCCTCATGAACTCTGCATAGATTTCTATCCGGGAAGCCAAAGCCAGCAGCACCGACTGTGTTTTGGCCGCGTAGGCTGCTGCCAGCAATGTCAGTGCCGCGATTGTCAGCAGCGGCTGCAGCAGCCGCTCTGGGCTCCTTGGGCCAAGTGCGATTGGGATCCACTCGGCATTTGCTCGTCGTGCCTGAACTTCTTTCGAAAGCCTCTGAATACAGCAGAGCACAAGTTCTCTTCAGCAAGGCTTAGCTGACTACTCCAAGGCACCATGCGGCTGACCTGATACGCAGAGAACACACTCGAGCTTTGAGGCTTTTCGAAAGGCACAGTCGTGACAGGAAGAGGAGTGAATAAGGCCCAAGCAAGGCATTGAAGCACCAGGAGCCGCAAGCGCAGGAGGCCCTCAAGAAAAACCCGTGCACTCAGCACTCACAGGCATCCCATGAGGGATGCCCGAGGACTTTCTTGATTCGGGACACCAGGCAGATAGCGTCAGATATCTGAAGCTTCAGAGGCACAGCTCAGGATCCGGCATGAACAATGAGAAAACTAACCTGGGCAAAGAGAGGGTTCTGGGAGAGCTTCGAACCAGGAGCCACCAGATCTTCAGCAATGCTCGTCATGGCCGGATTGAGCCAGTCTCTGATATTTCCACATAACCAGTAGCTTGTTTCCGCATGCAAGTTGGTCCGGAGTCCAATGCTGAATGCAACCGCGGCTGACAGACTTATGAGTCGGCTCGAGAGAGACACGGACAGAGAGAGAGAGAGAGAGAGACAGACAGACAGACAGACAGACAGGCAGGCAGGCCGGCAGGCAGGCAGGCAGGCAGACAGACAGACAGACAGACAGACAGACAGGCAGACAGAGACAGTGACAGAGACAGACGGAGGTACTAGCTGCGACCAGACCATAAACTTCACAAACCCAAACAAGCTCCCGTTGCTACAAGCGCACGACTACTGACAACATCTTTGCACAGGTTGCAGCCAAAGAACCCCAAATGTGGAGCCAGATTCGGCGTACCGTTGAGGACCACAGGCGTCCAACTAAACACGAACACCTTCGATAACATGACGGCATGCAGAACCCACTTCGCATCCCAAGAGCTTCTTGACATGCAAAGCCAGATGCATCCCAGGCGCGAACAAAGCTCCTTCAAAGGCAGCTGTCACTGCTCCACACCGGATCACCCATGGGTCGGCCATGACTGCCTGAGATTTGGTGTCAGTTCTACCTGCCTGGAGCAGCATCGTAGGGAGACGGCTCCGCCGACAGGCAGCAGAAATCAAACAGCCTAAGACCTGAAAGTCTAGGAGGAAGTTTACTGTCGCAGGTTGCCCTCGGCCCACCAAGTTCGACCAGCAACCTTCAAGACTCATCCAGATCTTGCAGGGATTTGCCAGGGCACAGCACGAACCTGACGCAGACCTTCCGCCCAACAACCCACAGCTTCCCGGACAGCTGCCTGGAGACCTCTGTCAGATTGCGTTCCCAAAAGTTACAGTTCAGCCGGTGGCAGGATGCACAAACTATAGGGCTAGCGCGCTGGAAAAAACGAGACCGTTGCGGTCTGGCAGACGGCCCTCAGCTGCGAAATCTACCAAGGCCGCGCTCAAACAAGCAGAAGCACCATGAATCGGCTTTGGGATGTATGCCTCACACTCCCAGACCGCTGACGTCGCTGTCCGATCTCTCTTGACTCGACCCTAGCCGAGGGTCGGAGAGCGCCCCACGGCTTCGTTTCTCCTTCTGCGCGCTCGCGACTCCGAGGCTGCCAGAGGACCTTGGACGGATCCTCTACTTCTGAGCATGCTATTGAGTATGATGTTTCTGCGTTGTGCCGAAGACTTGCCGAAGTCTTCCTGCTATCGTTTATCACGACGATCTGTACTAGGACTAATCTCAGTGACCGATCATTAGCACTGCAACAAAAGCTGCTGTGGACACAGCAATTGCTGCTAGCGGTGCGGTCATGGCGACTATGACCGTGACTTGTTGAAACTCTTGTAATTCAGATGGGGCGACAAGGAGCTTCTAACCGGGCCGCAGGGCACGGAAACATGGTGTGAGTAGCAGGGCAACAGAACAGAGTGTGGCTTCCAGCACTGCGGCGCATCCTCCCCGCTGTTAGTACGAGCGATGTCGCAATCCAAGCATTCTCAATGCTACAGGTATCGTGGTACCTAATTTGATGATACTGGCTTTGGTCATGATTTCGCTAGCACCTTTCTTTTGTCATGTCTATATATGCCTATGAGACTGCACTCGTGTCGCGTTACGACAGCCATCCTTGGGTTGGTTTCAGGCTTGCAGTTGGACTTGGCCAGGGTGCGGAGATAAGGATGGCGCCCATCACACAGAAGCCGGCTGCCAGATCAAAGGCTGCAGCCGGACCTCCCCAGGCCTCAGCCCAAGTGAAGGCTAAGACGCGCGTGCGCGCATGGCATAAGCCAAGAGTGAGCAGTGAGCCGAGAGTCCAAGCTCGTCTGCAGCTTCCAGGCCTCGAGCCTGAAATCCCCATGCCTCGGTCACAGCGATCGTAAACAGCTGACTCGCTCTGGACGGTTTGACGGTACATCATGAATTGAACAAAGTATCAGTCAACGACATCGATGCGAAAAGTGAGGAACAGACAACAAGACGGAACGCTTCGAGGGGTCAGATTCCCAAGCAGATTCTGTGGAATCGACAACTTTCCAACTTGCGGCCGTCAACGCTAACTATGTGAGCACGAGCAACGGCAACTGCAAGGGGAAGAATCGCAACAACAAGAGAAAACAAGAACGACCGCGCCACAGCCAAGAGGAAAACAACCACATCAATCACCACGACTGCACTAGAAATGGTAGGTCTTGAAATTCCGAACGGTCACATTGCAAAGAGGCACGCTGCTGGAAGAGCGCTGACAACAGCATTGCCCACAATGCCGGAGAGAACCGCAATGAGCCAGCTGCCTGACCACATGCCTCAGGATCGAATCGGGAATTGGCACATCCGCTTGTTGGAAACCTTCTGGGCCATCCTGGGCCACGGTAATTAATTCACTCACGAAGCATGCCAGAAGCAAGCATGGCCCATGGTTTTACATACCATCGTCATTATCAACACCAGAGCAGTGTCCCGGCTTAACACCACAGGGACGGTGCATGGTGTGTTGCACCAGAAGTGCAAACGACACGCCCGGGGCATGTTTGACATCGGGCAGACTTTGAGCCCGTCCGGGTCGTCCAGCCTTAAAGAGCGTCTGCAAGATCCACCGGACTGTGGTTTAGAGTGAAACGTGAGCTGCGAGTCACTGGGCTTTCCTAGCCGCTTGGACAGGAAGCCACACCGCAGGCCGCCCTGCGGGGACTCCGGCGGGGACCGCCGTGGGGTACAGAGGCCGCGGCTGTGGCTGTGCAGCGGCAGGCCGCCGTTGTGCGGGTCCAGTTACCGAACTTTGCTGTGTCTTTGGGGAGGAGGACATGGACAGCACGTCCTTCAAAGAGTCAACACCCACCGGGCCCAAGTTTGGAGAAGTCTCGGCAAAGAAGTTGGCCAAGTCAGAGGAAGCTTCGGCCAACCGCTTTCGCGCCTCGTCGACTGCGGTGCTGCCATCAGGCGTAGTCTTCAAGCACGCAGCAGACGCATTCAACATGCTGCTGCTCAGACGGGAAAGGGTGTCGAACAAGTCGAGCACAAGAAGCAAGTTGGTCTTGGAGAGGTCCAGAATGCCTTTGATGGAATCTGGCGTGTGATCTGCCGGAAAGGACGCCTGGTTCACGCGCACGGCATTCGACGCTTGCGGGGGCACTCCACCGAGCTGAGAGTGGAGCATCAGGGCACTGCTCAGTTCGCTAACCTGCTGTCTCAGCCGCTGGTTCTCGTCTTCAAGCCTCTCGTTCTGTCTTCGTATGCCCTGCGGTCCAAAAGTGATTGGCGCACCCGGGTCGATCATGTTCTTGGGGCTTGCGGAGATGATGCTCTCTCGCAAGCTGTCGTAGCGCTGCCTGAGCTCTGCCAACTCGCTGGGGCCCTGCTCTGACCAAGGATGGTTGAATTCATCCAGATCAAAGTTCTCAGGGTCCTCCGAGTGTGCTTGCCACACCTCCTGCATGATCTGTAAGCGGGAGCAGAACTTTTCGAAGGTCCAGTTGTACAGAACCTCCACCTCATCCATCCCCACCCCACCAGCTCCAGATGAAAACTGCTCCAAGAGGATCTCACTCGAATGCAAGGATGCGCGTCGCGCACTAACCGCAGAGGCTTTTGCTTTCGCTTGGCTGGGAGACATCTGCCGCACTAGTCGGACCGAAAGTTCTGGGCACAAGGAGCGGCCGTAACCCAAGGCCAAGATAGGTGCGATGGTGCACAGCTCAAACCTTGGAGGTATGCCGAATCATACAACTTGACAACTGCACGGACCCAAACAGTGATCATCAACTTTCGCCGAAGGACCTGAGGTTTGTCTGTCCACCCGGCTTGACCTCAGCGGTGATCTGATTGGCCTCTTCCACCATTGTTGCCGCCTCCGGGTGGTCGCACTTTCGCTGGAAGGGTTAGGACTGCTGCGCTCTACGACAAGATCACAGATTGGGATGCAGAGGCTCCAACTTGCCTTCTGGGCCATGAGCATGAACTCTTGCACAGAGGTTGCTCCATCGCTGTCCTCAGCTTGCAACATGCTCGAGGTCAGAAGCAATGACCAAAGTCCATGAAGACCTGGATTTGCAACACTTCGCAGCCTTGCCACCATAGGCTCAAGAGATTGAAGAACAATGCCACAAAAGCTGCCAACAACGATTGAAAAAAACCCGGACTGCCGAAGTCACAACATTCTCTGACAACTGAAGTGGACACTGGGTGGCAAGGTTGTGGCTCTTGAGCTCGGACATGTACTTCAAAGCCATCTGGAGCTGGCCTGGTTGTTCGGCCCGGTCCTTCCCCAGGATCTCCAGGATAAGCGACTCCTGCCATTGCAAGGACAGGCTGACTCACGTCCTCTGGGCACAATGAAAACAGTTCGCCCCTAGTTCTCGTTGCGTGGTCTTCGTTGTCTATGTCTGCTTTGTTGTTCTGTCTGCTTGTCGTTTCTTCTCTTTGACAAGGGACTCGACCTCTGCCCTGACTGCCCGGCTCCGCCCACTGTGTGAACGAGGCGCCTACACTGACTCCACGCTTCGTCTTTAACCATACCATAAGACTGCTACTCGCACCCAGGCCGTTCAGGCCCGTCAGGTTCTTGGAACCTACTCCGCTCCTGCTGCGATGGTCGCACTGCTTTGTCTGCAGGAAGGGAATTGATGTCGCTTCCAGGCTCGGTAAAAGCCTCCACTGCAAACTTCCAAGCGCCAGGGAAAGACAGGAGCCGAGGTGCCGCAGCATTTGTGCTGCACTAAGCCCCCGGCATACAGCATGACGGAGCGTCCCAGGACAACGCAGTCCAAATGCTGGAGCTCCACGTCTTGGAGCGACTTCAGCTGAATACCATTAACCTCTTCAAAACCAAAGCAAGCAAGCAAGAAGCTAACGGTACCTGGTGGCTTGCTGGTGGATTGCACACTCGGTACATTACGGCTGTTTGTGTGTACGCATGGCCTCGATACTGGAGATCGTGCCGTCCACACGCTTGTTCGGATGCCACTCCTCGTCACTGCTGCTACTGCTCCTGTCAATGGCCCAGGATGAGTGAAGACGTCAGCCTACATGGCCAGGCCCTTGTACCCATGACATGTGCATAGTCTTTCATAGTCTGTTCGATAGGTCGAGGGCACTCCCTGATCCGAGACCCTGAGGCCTCAGTCACATCACTCCTCTCTCTCTCTCTCTCTCTCTCTCTCTTTCTCTCTTCCAGGTGGGAGGTAGGGGCAGCATCCAGGCCCCTACCCCGTGCGGTCCGCACACCCGCAACTCTTGGCGGGAATGGCCCCTCCCTGGGCTTTTTCCAAGGAGGGCTCGGCTGTACGAACGCAGAAAAGGTTGTTCCCCCTTGCAGGTGATCACAAACTCACTCGCACACGATGACAACATGCAACTACAACATGACAGGCAAGGTGGACTGTTTGTGGTGGTCGTCTTGACATTACCCACTGCAGGTTGGAGACAGGCAGGACACAGTGTGTGGCGGCATATCCCCCTACAAGTGTGACAAACAGAAGTAAATCTAGGTCAGCGCCCATCATATGCAGAAGGTACCATATCCCCCTGTATCCTCCGTCTGCCGCAAAAGGTACAAAGGCTTGGGGACTACACACATGCAGGTAGTGAAAAGCCGGGAGGTTCATCGGGCCCCAACAACTGCAAGTGCATTACCAGAATGAGGCACACGCCGTAGGTTAACAGTGCAGTCACTCGGAGAACTCCCCGGTTTGTTGGGTTCCTCGTCTGAAACAGGACTAAGTCGGTGCTGCTGTTCAGCTGTACAACGCTTCACTCACTGCCCCTCACGCCTTTTGCGTTTCAGTGGTGGACGTTCCGGCGCCGCCCCCGCAGGGTGCTGTTTCGTGGTGGGCGTCGGCCCACCAGCTCGCTGGGTCGAGGAGGCGCAGTGTTCCCCTCTCTGAGCTGCATCCGGTGCTCTTGCTACACGTAGCAAGGTCTGGGAGATCGAGGTTATCGCCCCCATCGGTGGCCAAGCTGAGGTAGAAGAGGAAGCTGGAGCAGTTCCCCCGACAACGTTCCTGCCAGGCTTAGTCACTCTGACGCTGCGCGCCTGATGGGAAATGCTCTTCCCCGTCACGACCATCTGCCGTTCTTTCTTTTCCTTCAACCTCTTCGCAAAAAGCTCTGCTGCCTGGGTGACCTCGTCCGGCATCACAGCGGGCGAAGGTTCCTCCTCCACTGGAACTGTCTCCTCCCCCACTGCGGAGTCCAACTGCTGCTCTGCTGCTGTCCTCTCGTCCTCCGGCGCCTTTGGCTTTGGCGTACTGTGCTCTTCCCCCGCGCCTGTGGTGGCAGTGGTGCCGTCGGTGGGCACTCCCCACATTCTGCACAGATCGCGGGACATATCCCCGAAGACAGCCTCGATGGCCGTCCTCGAAGGCCACGCTGGCCCCCCCACTTCAGTTGTTGCATCGTCCTCCTCTGGCAAAGGTGGCGTAACAGGTTGTCTAAGGTCGCCTGCCCATTGCAAATCGCGCTCACTGCCTGACTCGAGGCAGTCTGGTGAAATCGCGGGCATGTCACCTGCGGGATCGCTCCAGTCGGGCTCTGGCGAGCCTCCCCCATCAAGGGGTTGCAGGACCACTTCCCCTTGTACTCGAGCTTGCGGAGGAGGCGACTTCCCTTTTAGAGCCTCTTGGTGCGGTCCTTGTCCTTGTCGTGGTACTGCGTGGGGTTCCGCTCTCCCCCCTCTTTCGGAGCTCTCAAGAACATTGGTGGTGGAACTGGTCTCCTCCGCCTCGCTCTCATCGATCTGCGAAGCTTCCCCCCGGCCATGGGGCGTGGCTGCGGCGGCCTCCCCCGCAGAAGTGGCAGGTGGGGTCTCATCTCGGTACTGGAGGCGGCCGTTGTTGCCACCGCTCCCCCAACTTGTATCTTCCGTCTGCCGGCCGGCACGCCATAGTATTTGCAGCCTGGCGCCTTTCTGTTGTGGGCTGTATGTTTGCCCGTGTTGGTGCTGTTGCAGAGGTAACACTGTTCTACCTCCGCGTCGCGCTCTGCCATGGCAGCACTCTACGGACCTGTCTCCCGCTACGTCCGGGTTCTCTCCAAGCGCGGCAGCAGCTGCAGGTGTTTGCCTCTGCGTCCGGCTGGTTCACGAACTTGACTCACAGCAGCACTGTCTTGCAGCATGAAGCGGCCTCACTTTCTGTCTTGCGTCTCTGTCACTGTCTGTCTGTTGTTGCTTGTCGCACCCTATGTGTTGTTTTGTCGCCGTGCTTTATGCGGTGAAGTGAAGATAGTGGTGGTGTTGGTTGTGATGTCCCCCCCGATGGCATGGCAGCCTCCCCTCTCCTTTTGGTCTGCTCCTTAGTCGTCATTAGGCTGTGAGTGCCACGGCAGTGGGCGGCCCACGTCTGCCATTGGGAAGTAAGTTGTCTTGGATGGCTTGCTGTTTGCCTGTAGCCCACGGCACATCAAATTTGGTCACGAAGGTTTGCGAGAGATCTTGCCACCGCTTGCGATCCTGTGCAACCTCCCCCCCAATGTGTTCCTGCTATGGCCTCGATTGCTCGCTCAACGTCAGACTCCGGGTTGAAGTGTCCATGCGTGACTCTTTGTTTGCGTGGTTTGCTGTGTTCTCGCCAGCAAGGCATGTTCTTCCAATTCACCATAGCGTTCACTTCCTCCCCCCTCGGGCCATACGTCCCCACAGCGTCCAGATGCGACGCAGGATGCAGGATGTAGGTGGACCACCTTTCTCCCCCCATGCGGTGGAGGTGTACACGTGCTGCTCTGAGGCTCCTGGTGTGCCACGTGGCCCATTGCTCGGCCCGCTGCTGCATTTGTAGCGAATTTGCTGCTTTGAGGAGTCTGTGTTAAAGAGTGCGGAGTTCCGCACCAGGGTGGTGGTATGTGCAGTCCAGCGTGTGTTGATGTGGGTCCGTGCCATAAGGATTTTCTTGTGTGCTCATCTCCGCAATCAGGGCTGCCGTTTGCTCGCCGAATGTGATGGGGGAGCCGAGCGCTGCAATGGCCGTTTTGTGCTGGGCACACGCCACCACTTCCCCCCCTAGCGTGAAACTGCCCCTCCTGTTGGCTTGCTGTAGAGAATGGGTGTTTTTGTAGGGTGGATCTTCAGGCCATCTTCTCCAAGTTCCCCTTCAAGCGAGGTGAGGATTTTTGGAGGTGGTCCTTGTCTTGGCTCCACAGTAGGTATCATCCAGAAAGGAGCCCTCTGTGCGCGGGGGGTGGTGGTCCTCCTTTGGAGTCCGGTGTTTGTTCCCCGGCTGTCTCAACTGCTTGTTGGAGATCTCTTGCAACAATGGCTCCGAATAGGTCAGGGGAGTCTGGGAAACCTTGTCGGATCCCATTGGTTTGTGGGATGGGAGTGATGCTGTCCCCCACCGCAACATTCAAGGAGCGGGTGCGCCGATGCTCAGCCACAGGAGTGCTTCCCATGGCATGCCTCCACCGCCCTCGGGAACAGGGCAACGTGATGAAGGAACCCCCCCAACTCTTGCTGCGACGAGTTCGCTGATGCTGTGTTGCCAAACACTGTCAAAGGCTTTGCGGATGTCAAGTTTTACCAACCACAACCCAACCCCCAGTCTCGTGCCATTTGTGTGACTCTTCTGATTGTTGCGACCAGTTCCACCCCTTGTCTGCCTTTGCGTGCCCATTGCAAGGAGGCGCCCAATCGCAAAAGGTCTCCCGCTCTCAAAAATAAAAGTTGCGCCAGCCATTTGAGAGAAGGGTTGAACTGAGGGTTATTGGATGCATATCCCCCCAGTGCAGCGGCTGGGGGACCTTGGGGAGGAGAACTGTGATGCCTTTGTCCACACTCTCCGGAACTGTCGCAACATAGAAGATGTCGTTGAGAACGTATAAAATCTTGTCCCCCCAGAAAGAGTCTGCCAACAGTGCTTCGGCAGCTTCATGTGAAATCCCATCGGGTCCTGTGCTCTTGTTCTTGGCCCATGTGTGGGAGGTGTGCTCAAGTTCCTGGCGCAGGAACGGTTGCCATGCTGTGATTTTGGGGGGCACATCCCCCGCAATTGTCGCTGCAATGTAAGAACTCTGCATGTGCTGTTGGTTGGCTGGGGCTTGGCAAGAATGCCTCGCATGTGTTTACTGAGTTTTTGCTGCCATTTGCCATCATCTTGGAGTTGTAGGTGCCAGCCTCTTCGAGTTTTGGCTTGGTGCAGGGATCGCATGGCTCTCCAGTCCAAGCTTGCTGCGAGAGTGGCTTGGTGGGCCTCCCAAGCTCGTTTCTCCTGTTTGCGCCGTGTGGAGGCTTCCTTGCGTCGTAGCCGTTTGAGTGCGTGACTTTCGGTGAAACGGTTGCAACCCCCCCCCCGGTGTTGTGATAGCTTTGGCAATAGCTGCAAGTGTCTGGCATGGGTCGTCGCCGCGAGGGGCGGGTACCTGTAGGAGCTGCTTGAATTGGGTCTCGCTAAGCAATCGGCGACGGCCCCATGTTGCTTGGGTTGCTCCGCCTCCCTTGTGTGTACTGAGCGGCAGAAGGACAGCATCATGGTCCGAGGTGGCCCGGTCTTTACATTGGCAAACAATTCCTTTGCCGACGCCCCCTCCGTGCAAGGATATAGTCGAGACGACGGGTTGCATTTGGTGGTTGTAAGGGAAATAAATAGGTGGGTATATGGAGTTGTTGCGGTGGCAGGGTCATGCTGCAGCATCCACTGTTGTACGAGGTCCCCCAGTCCTGTGTTGGCGATGCCGATGTAGCTTTTGCTAAATCCTTTTAGCTCTTCCCCCCACTCAGCTCGGAATTGCTCTGTTATCGCAATGGTGGCGCGGTGTGGGATGTGTCCTGAGAGGGCTCTGCATCTCTTCTTTGTCTGTTTGTTTGCGAGTGTGGTGGCGACTGCTCTGGTGTCAATACTGCTGTTGTGGTGTGATGTTTGCTCCAGTCGGTGTGCGACTGCTTCTCCTCTGAACTCCCCTTCTTTCTTACCACCAAAGACAATCTGCCAATGATCCGATGCTTCGTGAAAGAGGCCAGGCTCAGTAATAATTTCTTGCACCAGACAATGTCGGCGCGCTCCAGGTCTGTACTCCCCCGGACATCTTCGAGGATGTCCAGCATCTTGTTAGCCGAGACTCCCCCGACGCTCCAGGAAAGTATCCAAAGGTTGTCGCCGGTCAAAATTCCCCGGTGAAACATGCTCTGTGTGCTGTGACATCAGTTGAGTTCCGCGTGGAAGTCCGAATTCCTGGTTCAAGCGGCACCCCTACCTCTTCGAAGACCTGGAAGCAGTTTCTTGAGACTTGGGTGCGATACATTGGATCCCCGGGCTTGGTCATTACCGACGGCGGGAATGAGTTCAAGGGCCTGTTCGAACGTGGATTGGAGCAGTTGGGATGTCTACAACACGTTTGCGCCAGGGAATCTCCCTGGCAGAATGCCAAATCCGAAGGGCATGGTGGTTGGCTGAAGCGCCGACTGACGCAGCAGGTCGAGTCGGGGCGATGCACTTTCAACAACCTGGACGAGTTGGACGAGTTCCTCGCTCAGATCACAGCGGCCAAGAACCGATGGCTCAATCATGGAGGCCACTCCCCGGTGCAGCTAGTGTTCGGTGAGCTTCCTCGTGTGTCGGCAGAGCTCTTAAGTGACGGACCCGGAGGACCCCCAAACACGGTCGACTTCATCGCGTGTGTGACGTGTCATCTGGGCGACTGCGTCCAGGTTGACCCAGCCACCCCCAGCTTCTTCTGTCCCCCGAGGCTGGGGAGCTGCAGCGGAACAGATCTTGGTTGCATCAAGCCAGGCGCTCCCCGTGCTGAACGTAAGAGGTCTTTGCCCCCCCCAAGGTACAAGCGCTTGACTTTGGCCGCAAGCCGCGCCCGGCGCCTCCGATCTGGAGGCTGGGACATTGCAATCCAGACTCGCCGTACTGCTCCATCAGAACGTGTCCCCTAAGCACAGATTGGCTGCCCTGACTTTGTTGATCACCGATTGGAGTCTTTGCCGACGTTGCTCGAAGCTTTTGCCTGCGTCGTTCGTCGATTGGTAGGATCGCATAGCCTCGGCGTACTCCTGTGGGGCGAAGAGAGCATGCACATTGATGGGTGCTTCCACGGAGAGAAGATCTGCCGCGGCCTCTTTGGTGACTGTCGCTTCCTGGTCAGCCCTAGGAAGGTTCAGGGTCTGCTGCATTTGCTTCGTGACCTGTTTCTCCACTTTGTCGATTCTGCGGCCAAACCCCCACAGTTCTTCTTTGGAATCGGACATGGCTTCCTTGAGCTCCCCTCGCACGGCCTCACGGATGACGTCGATGGAGAGGGTCAGGTTTTCGGCATCCGGGACCTTGCGTTTTGGGGCCGGTTCCCCCTGCTGGCCGACTGCCATGACGCTCTGGGTCCCTTGATTGCCTTTGCCAGCCATCGTGTAGCCCAAAGAAGATCACTATCTCGCCGTCCTCGAAAAAAATATCACGCCCCCACCCGCAACGGAGTTTGTCTCCCAGCGTTGAAGGCACGGAGAAGTATCACAAGGAGGTACAGTAATTATGTGTAGGGCCGCCTTGCCTATGTGGTAGGAGGTGTCAAACTCCCGCGCACGTCTCGAAGAAGGATCACGTCTGGCTGCACTCTTTAAGTACTCCCTCGGTCGGACCTTCGCGAGCAAGTGCACATGCCAGCCCTTCGCCTTGGGCCGAGACAAGTGCCCGGGCTGAGAGACCGGGGTGGCACAAGCAAGGCAGAGAAAGGAAAGAAGAGAGAAGAAGGGCAGAAGCCACCCCGAATCCCTTGAACCACTCACAGTTTGAGCCAAAATGGCTACAGTCTCTCTTGCTTGCTTGCTTGCTTGCTTGCTTGCTTGCGAAGGGGTCTGGGCGCATGCACCCCGGCCCGAGGGCCAACCCCCCCACGGCTCGCAACAGTTCAAGGTCTGACAGGCACCTTCCGGGTTGAGAGATGGTCTTGCTTGCTTGCTTGCAGGGCGTTTGGGGCGCAAGGACGGACCCTGCTACCCCTGCGCGCGAACGCTACGCCTTGGTTCGTGTCTTGTGTGAAACTTGCATGGGCGTGCTTGCAAGGCTGACCCCCGGAAACTGACAAGCAGCCTAACAACACACATGTCAACTAGTTGTCCCCCTGCCTTGCAGAGCACGTCTGTGTCCGTATCCCGTTGCTGTGAGAGATTCTCTCTCTCTCTCTCTCTCTCTCTCTCTCTCTCTCTCTCTCTCTCTCTCTCTCTCTCTCTTTCTTTCGCCAGGGTTAGGGTGTAGGGGATTGACCCCCTACACCGCGCGCATATGCGCCCCCGACTGTTGCGGAGGGGGTTTGATGGAAAGTTGCTGACCTCGGCTCTGTCCGTGTAAAAAGGACAGGCACTTCCCTCGGCGACTGCATTTAAGAAAGTTACAAAACATGACTTCGGTTCCAGAACAAGATAGAGAAACACCCGGTTATGTTGTCGCTTCGGGGGTATTCCCCGGTGAGGGAGGTCATGTTTGGTAATGACAAGTGCTGGTCAAGGCTTTACGGATTCGAGAGCATCTACGAGAGAAGGTCATGTACACCAACAGTCGACCAAACTAAGGGAACTACTTGTTGGAGCCTTGATCGTCATGGGGACGTCTCCCCAGCAGCCGAACATCTCGTCACGGCGGTGTTGCAGATGTGAGTCGGGGGAAGAAATGCTTGTCTAAGCATTGTGCTGTAGAGGATCGCCCCCGCTTTGAAAAGTGCCTGCCTACTTTTCTGCTGGCATCTAAAGCCTCGGCTTGGCATGATTTGTGTCTGGGGAATTTCCCCGACTTTACAGTGCGTGTTTTCTCGATGATTTTGTACACGAGCTGAGAAGGCCCTACCAACTCAACAACTTACATCCAGCACCCATACGAAGAAAATACCATCTGAGAAAGGTCGCCACGCATGTTAATTTTCAGGGCGTCCCCTGCACATGGTATCGTGAAACGAGATTTGGTTCGAGGGCTTGCAGGGCTTTGCATCGTTCCTGGTCCTACGGGCACGCTAAGGTTGGGAAACAAGTATCACAACCTAGCAGTGGCTGTTGCTTGGCTTGACAAGGGCAGCAACAAGAAACAAAACTCAGAACCAAAACACGGTGGAGGAACGAGTGTGCCAAGCGATCAGCCCATATTGTTAGAAAGCCTTACGCCGTGTGCCCTCTGATGAAAGGAAAGGTTTGCGGCTGCGGAACACAGGTTCTTGCGACAGCCGCGGCAGGGTGAGCCAAGCACACGGAAGTAGACTAGGTTCATGAAATCGTCTGCTGCAGCTAGGGAGCAATCCCCTGTCTTGTATCTAGGTAACCGCGTACTCAGGCCAAACATTTTGTGGCTGCCGGCAATTGACAAGGGAAGCAACAAAGAGCATCACTAAAACAGGAAAGCAGCGGTAAGCAACTATTACGCCGGTTCAGCCAGAGAAGGGGAGAAAGTTGTGGCTCATCGGAGCCCTTCAGTCAGGACCTCAGGTGATGTCACCACGGTGGTCCGTCTCCTCCGCGAGCATGTTCGTCGTCAGTGGCTCCGTCCGGGTCGTCAGGGGTCCCGTAGAAGTGAGCATGCATCCTTCTCCTCCTGTGAGACGGGGCTCGCGCGGGTCTGTCACCTCGTGCTGTCGGCTTGTGTCGAGGTGCGGGGCTCCTCGATCTGAAAGCTTGCGTCGGGGCTTCGGATTGCGACTCTGAGCCGTCATTCTCGAGGGGGATGTCCCCTGCCTCCTGCGCCAAGGGCATCTCGGCGATTTCTGCCGCTGCATTGTCCACGAGGAATATCGGCGAGCCCCATAGTGCTGCTGTCCATGCGAACAAGAGGCTATGCGCCTTTGCCACTTGGGTCGCAACCTCCTGCTCGAGAAAGGGTAGAAGTTGCTCAAGCAATTGCTGTGCACGCAAGATTTGGTATGGGGTAGATTCCCCCTGTGCTGTTTCTGGTAGGCGCTCTCGTGCTGGATCGTGGTGAAGTGGAACTCCAGGGCCTTCAGGCAGTTGTGGAAGATCTCGAGGTCGCTCAAGTACTGCTTGTTGTGGTAGTACGCGAGGTTCTCGGGGTGTCTCACCCCGTTCCGGCATGCGGGCGTCGTGGTTCTCCATGGTGAGGTGCTGGTCGAGGTAGTTCGCCGTTCGGTCAACTGTTGCCAACAATGCTTCCAGGGCTTCCCGAATCGTAGCTAGGCCTCTCTCTTCGATGGCGAGGTCCAGGAAAGAGGCTTGGGCTGCCGCGTTTTTCAGTCCCGCCAGTGCTTGGGCTTGGTTCGTCTCTTGGGGTCCATCCCCAGGGCTCCTCAGCACCTGCTTCACTTGGTCCATGATGTCTTGTACCCGGTGAGATGTGCGTCGTTGTTCTCGAAGTGGCATGGAGTCAAAGTTCTGGAGCATCTGTCGCAGTAGTAGTTGTGCATCTGCAAGGGGGTTGAGGTGCATCCCCTGTGTAGTTTCCGGAAGGGTGCTTCCAGAGTGCGTCCCCGTAGTAAGAGATTGTCGAAGCATGTGCACCCGAGAGCAAGCTGTGTACGCAAGGGTCGTGACGTTCTCTCTGGGCTGCAAAAAGCTCTTCTCCAGGAGTGCATGGAGCAATGCTTCCAAATTGGTGACGATCTGCTGTTGATTCGCGTCCGGGGCAATCGCAAAGGGGTCTGTGGAAGAGGATGCTCCGCCAGTCTCTTGGGACTCTTCCGGGTCGCCAGGTTGTTGTGGAGGGTCTTGGCGCTTGCGCCCCCGGCCTGTTTGCATGGCAGCGAAACCGTCGTCTTCACTCGGCCAACTTGTCTCAGAGTCTGAGCCGTCAGGACCACGATGTGAGTGCTCCTGTCCTCGCCGTTGTTGAAGTAGGGGAGGCGCTGGTCCTTGTTGTTGTACAGGAGGTCGTGGCGGTGGCATACGGCGCTCATGTTGTACGGCGCTTTGGTGAGCTGGGGCAGGTAGATCACGTTGCGTCTGGTTGGCTCTATCGTCTCTTGGTTGTGGCTGACGTCTTGGCAAGCGTCCTGTGGGGTCACGGCGCTCCGGTGGTGTTGGTGGTCGAGGAGGTACTTGCGGAGGCACACGTGAGGGCCCTCCAAGGCGTCTGATGTCATCATCGAATCTCGGCCTCCTCGACCAGAGTCGTTCCTGACCTTTCCATTCCAGCCAGAAGCTTTGGCCATTGCTTAGTCTCTCTCTCTCTCTCTCTCTCTCTCTCTCTCTTCTTCTGCAGGGCATAAGGGGCGTGTCAGGCCCCCCGGCCTCATGGGCCCCCCATGTGTTATGGGGCTTTCGGCGGGCGTGAAAAAACATCGAGTCCCCCAGTTTGTGCAAACAGATGTATTGGACTATGTAATTACTGGGTTCATCGATGATGGGCTTGACACATGCACGATCCTTTGAGAAATGGGTCTTCACTTCCCACAAGTATCTCACTTAATACAAACAGTGTATTAAGAAAAAAGGTCCCCAGTTCGCACTTGTACGGATAATTCAGCTGGAACAAGCCCGAAGGGGACGACCAGGAAAAACATGCCAAATTACTTCGTGGTCGGAGAGGGCGGGCGGAGCGAAATCTAATTAGTGGCCTGGTCCCCTCTGTCAGAGGTGCGAGTATATTACATCCCCCGAAGGGGGTGATTTAAAGAGTTTCGGCAGGCGGTTTGGTATAGATGTCAGCCTCATGGAGGCCTTTTTGAAAAACATTTGCAATGCAATTAGATCAGCAGTAACACGGAGAGGGTCTGCAACTACGTAGCGGCTTCACTGATTGAAATGACAAGAGCTGCAGCAAAGACTTGCATCATAATTAGAACCGATGCAGGGGCTCAGCAAAGCTCAGAACACCACATATGCGGTATGATATAGAGGATGAGACGTCGTAAAAGACAGTTCATCGCCAGCTCCGCGCCAAAGCAAGCCGAACACTGCATCATCACGACAATGGCCCTAACTAAAGTGCTGTAACACTTCAACTTCGTCCCACAAGGATAGCTTCTTGATCTCACTCGCCTCGGACACGTCGAACCTTTTCGCAGTGGGGGCATCCCAACACAGCAGTTTCAAGTCCGTCGCAGTGACAAGGAAGAGGACTGCAGGAGCTATCATGGACACTCGCCAGACGGGGTCTGCTGCGATGCCAGACATAACCATGGAATTGGCAAGTATACGAATCATGAAGATCTGCGCGACACCACTTCCCCAACTTTCCCATCCAGCTGCTGCGGCTTTTCCAAGCATAGGCACGATTATTATGACGGAACACCGGAACTGGTTGATCAAGAAAGTGCATCCGGCGCAACCGATGAAGAAGCGAATCAGTGCGCGCTTCCAGGGAGCGGGGGCGGTCATGCCATTGCCTTTCGGTTCCAGGTACCTACCGCGATTCTAGGTTTACGTCGTAAGGGGGCAAGGATCGGGGCGCACGGCACAGGAACGCCCCTCCCCCCACTCCCCCCGCTTAGGACTTCGGGGCCGCGGTCGATGGAGAAGACGTCGTCGGCACCTTGAGCCAAAATGGCTCTCTCTCTCGCTGTCTCTGCTTTGCTAGGGGCTAGGACGGCTAGGAGCGGGAGCAGTCCTCCGGGAGTAGGGTGCTCCCGGCCGGCCCATTGAGTCCGCAGAGGGTGATCTCTGCGGTCTTGGGGGTGGACGCGTCGGGGCGGGGGGTGGCTTGAGGCCACATGCCGCAACATGTCGGGCTCGCAAGTGCCCCAAGGTTTGCGAAGACCTCTCCTGACCCCGGTCCTCTGCGGAGGTGGCCCGGTATTAGGGAGGGGCCCCAGCATACTACGTGACAGCGGACCTCCCAGTGAAGATGCACCACCAGAGGGAATACCACATCGCTCAAGAGGGGAACAGCGAGATCTCGCTGAACGACCACCTCTTCCTCGAAGGCGACCCCGACAAGACGCAACCGAAGGACCTGACTGGGCTGGGCGAGGGACACCGAGGCCGGAAAGAACGTGATAGTGGCAGGGACACCACGAATGCGGAGAACACCTACGGCCGACGACGACGCAAAACCAGAGGATGACGACGATGTTGAGACGAAAACCTGCAAACCAGCGAAGGTGCCAGACCCAGTCTTCGTGAATGGCAAGCGCGTTTGCCGTAGGTGCCTACTCGGAGTCAGCAAAGGAGTAGGGGGCAAACACTACAGCCACGACCGTGGGGCGCCACCTTGCATACTCTACCAGAGCCAAACGCGTGGAGGAGCAGCTCCTACAGGAAGCGTCAAGGAGACCGGATGCATCTCACACGGGCATCTTGGTAGGGCACACCTGCAACACAAAACCAAGAAGCCGAAGGAGGCACAGAGCCAGCGCTCCAATACCGAGAAGACAAAGGCCACGCAGATGGGCCAAGTAAAAACTTTAGCGAAGAGCTTGAAGGCCAACATAGGCCAACACGGCCGACACTTCAATATCCAAGCACCAGCCAAGATAGACAAACAGAGTGGCCCGCTCTCTTGCGGCTGACTCGCTAATTTGCGGGCTGGGGGCACCAAACCTTTCCTTGTTACCTTTCAAGTGGAGTGCCACAGCGGCCACCATAAGGCTGGCGGGGCCGTTAATCATGGCATGTTTTTGCAACTTCCCCGGGGCTCTCTGTCTCTCTCTTGCATCTGTCTCTCTCTCTCTCTCTCTTGCTTGCTTGCTTGCTTGCTTGCTTGCAGGCGGGTATGAGGGCCGAAGCCCCCTGGCCCGAAGGCTTACCCGCTCAACGGCTCGCGTCTGTCAAGTCTGTGCGGCCCCTTCCGGGGGTGGGAGCGTTTCCGTTCCCCCCTCTGTGCCTGTAAACCCAGTCCCCCACAACGACCAAACCTCCTAAACCATCCCCCTGTAAAACCTCGCAGGCGGCAGACGGGTCATCCGGGGCTCCCCAGTTCCTACTTGTAGGCCAGTGGCAGCGCATTGCCACTACGAACTCATGAACCAGCGAGCAAGCTTACTCCGGCATCCCCGACAACTACTTCGCTGCTGCCACTTGCCATGTCGGTGGGCTTCACCCCCCAACTGCAACTCAACTTTCACTTCGCACTACACAAACCCCGCCTCGTCCTGCCTCCCCACCTTATCCCGAACAGAACCTTGCGCAACTGCACTGCCTTCACCACTCCCACCCTGAACCTGCTACTCTTGACACTGCCGTGCCCTTGCCTTCTGTTCCTATCGGAGCAAAGCAACGAATACGGCCCATTGCGAACTGTAACAGAACCCCGCAACTCTCACTCTCTGTCTCTCTCTCTGTCTCTCTCTCTCTCTCTCTCTCTCTCTCTCCAGAATGGACCGTGTCACTCCTGTCCGATTGTGCTGCTGGTCGGAGGAACAAGCGTCCGTTGCTGTCCTTATGGATGAAGCACGTAACCTGCTGGATGCCTCGGGCAGGCGTAGCTGATCGAAGTGCTGAGAAGTGCCAAGCTCCAGGTTCCAGGCAAGATGCCCAGACCATGCGGCACCAAGAAGTCGCAGTCATGGTTGTAGCCGAGGGAGTACTCGCGATCCGGCTGTGCGGGGTGGAACATCAGCCGACCCCGCATGTGCGGATCCTCGGGGCCACATTCCGAGTTTGAGGAGGCTCAGTTCCAGCCTTTTCCCGTAGCCGTACATTTACATACTGGATACTGGCATGTGGACCTGGTCATATCCGGTCAATGTGTCCAACTTTGAGGATCATTGACGCCAGAAGGATGTCGAAGGCGAAGGTATGACGAAACTACTGGGGGGGGAGCTTCCTTCAGCAACCATCACCAGGCACCCACCCGGCCAACTGCCCCATGACTCGAATGAACTATCAGGAGATGTCTAGGCCCAGGCCCAGGCGCCTCGGAGTAGTTGGCCAAGTGCGGAACTTGGCGCTGCTGCACCTTGTTTGCCAGGAGCACGTTGTGCATGGCCCAGCTCCATCGAGGGGCTCCAAGCTTCTCCAAGGCAGCTCCCCGCTGTGACATCATTCGCTTGGCTTCGCTGGAGGCCTCGTTCCATCCCTTCCGATATCGTTTCACCAGTTCCTCGGTGGCCTCCAACTTGTCAGTGAGCGTGTCATGATGGACCTTCTCCTGCGCCTCTGCAAGCTGCTCCTTTAGGGAATGAAGCTCCTCCTGCAGTGTCTTCACCAAGGCATCCTTGTCCACGGCGCTGGCGGGCTTCGCCTTGATCTTGATGTTCTTCACCGTGGACGCGAAAGTCAAAGTGCTGTAGCTCTCCTCGAAGTTGGCAAGGGCGGGGCTCAGTGTGCCGATCATGGAGGTCTTGGAATTTCCGCTCAGAGCATTGGAGAGGAGCAAAGTGAGCTTGGAGTTCCGAAACCTTGACATCATGGCAGTGCCGGATGCTGCCGCAGCACTCATGGACTTCCTGGTGTCCGGCTTCGCGAGAGCCTGTATGCAGCTCGCCAACCACATCAAGCTTTGATTGATGAAGGTGAGCTCCACCAGCCTTTCGCCCGAGACCTTGCCGCTCATGTCATGTTGGCAAACTTTCCACTCAGTTAGTGCTACCGCGCCGGGTACGGTGCTCCTACTGGATAGCATGCGCAGGCTGTATGCAGAGCATCCCATGCGACTAGCGCACGAGCCCACGGCCCAACTTAGCGACATTCATCACGACCTTTTGCCAGCCATGCAGCTTTGGTGGTTTTCTCGTTTTCTCTTCCTGCAAGATCCACGAAAAACGCCTCCGACGTCACGATTGTGTTGTCCGTTCCCCCACCTTCCATCAAGGGACTTCGACATAGGCTCGAAGGCAACATGAGTTGTCAAAATGCTTCCGGAGCAATCGATAGCTCAAACCGTCTGAGACACGTTTCTCCACCATCAGCTTGAAGATCGTGTGCGCACGCGAGCTCTTGGCATTCATCGCCGTTGCTGCAACCGTCTTCATGGTGTTACCATACCTTCCGCTGCAAGCCGCTCGGCGGACTGTTGAGAACATCATCATACAAGTAGCTCGGGGCTTTGTGGCTTAAGGGCTTTGTTTTCCCAGAACACGACCACTTGCTTCACCAAGAAGGGCTAGCTTAAGCAGCAGAGCTCGTGCACGGCTGGCGGCTCGATGAGCTGCACGCAATTCTCGAAGGACTCCACCGGCTCGTCTGCGACTCCCTTCACGTACCTCGATGCTGATTGCTAGAAAGTATCATCCTATCTGGATAGCAATACCAACTCCATGCCAGTGTATCCTACACCCATCCGTTCACCCTCGCAAATACGTGGTCGAATACGAACTTACAAAAGAGTTACAGCAGCAGACTCACTCAGGAATGGATTCAGGAGTAAGTTTTCCAATGCCATGAGCCAATTGCAGCTGCGTTACACCCCTAACTTTGGATGAACATGCACCTCGGGATGTTGACGTGACTTTCCATCTTTGCCTCCGTCTTTGCCTTGGCTGGGAACATAACATACCGAGGCTGCCACACGAAAATTCTGGGGAGAAGCAACGAGACCGGGCATGCTGAGCGAATGACCACTCATGGGGACGAGAAGGTCGCGAACTTTCTCGTTGTAGACCTCTTCAAAAATGCCCGAGCCGGCCGATGCAAGCTGGATGCGGGAGTCGAGAGTGTGCGAACAGGGCAAACCTACAACATCCCCACTATTTTTCCTATAGGATCCTCGCCGCCAGTGCCGCTACCGCGCCTCCAACATCTGAACTTTGCAGTGCACCTCAGAGCCTTGACTCTGCAGGTCGGCCATCCTTACCACTCGACTACCGGTAGGAGGACCGTGTCGAGAACACGCACTTCTCTACGTCTCGGGAAAGAACAGGCGAGGAAACTGCACCAACGAAATGCGCACGTGCGCTCTGCTTGCGGGGCTCTCTGCAAAGAGGTCGTTCATCAGTCTGAGCAAGAGACCCTGCTCAGACACAGGCTCCACCTCAGCCGAGAGGGACAAATTTCCGCAAAATTCAAGGCGCACTTCCCAACTGACGCATGCCAAAGCGTCTTTCCCCATGATTGTGGTGGTCTTGCCAGTGCCCGTCTGCCCATAGCAGAAGAGGCAACTGAAGTATCCTCCAAGAACATGGTCGACCATCCTGCTAGGGCAGCTACGATGAGTTCAATCGGGTCGGAAGTTGGAAGTGTCATTCGCATCACCCCTCGCTGGCCACCTCTTTGCCATCATCTGATAGCATTTATCTTGGGACACATAGCTCTTCGAGTCAGGATCCGTGCTGTCCATGGCACAGTCGAAAGCAAACTCCAACACCTTGCCGAGAGCTGGTCCAAGATGGAGAGAAAACTCAAGGGCAACTCTGTCCCTTGTCTCTCTTGTGCCTTGGCTTTTTGGGATTGCTCTGCAACCATGGGGTCCACATGGACGGTGTTGTCCTCGATTGTGAGGCACCTGAGAAGCTAACAAGAATCCGGAAGGCCCTTCTTCAGAATTGTGCTTCCCGACTGACTGGGCGTTCTCACGGCCACAGCGCTGCAGACAGCCATGCCGTGTGCGCGCGCGAGCAACGAAAGGGCCGGATAAGATCCATGCAGGCAAAGAAACTCAGGCCCCTGCTGCTCTTGCCCAGATTCATAGGCGACGAAGGGACGAAGCCGAACCCCCACGCAGACTGCCTCTCGGTCTGCCATGTCCCCGCAACGAGTCGGGGGGGCATGGGCTGCCAGGGGCAACGGGGGACTTCGCTGGAGCTGCCCCCTACGATTAGGAGTCAAGTCAAGCCTAGGTGGCCAAAGCTTCAACATGTTCAGGTGCTGCTCAAGTCGTAAGTGTAGTGCTGTCACCATGATATCTTCAAGCTGAAACGGCTGCTTGCACGCTTGGGTGAGGATGTCAACACAAGACATGAACGACTTGGCCAACATCCACTTCAAACTCACAGACCTCAGCATTGATGCAGCTGCAGATGCGAGACAGCAGCTGCCGCAAGGAGGCATCAGTCGGGAAAGGCTGCCGTTTGTGCTCCTGCACTGCAGTGCGGTCCAGGCTCGGATCTGCTGAAGTTGCACTGTGTACACACGGAAATCTCGGCAGCCTCAATGGCCCATGCCTCGAAGGCCGTGTAGAGCAAGGAATCCTCGGAAGGGCTGGGAGGGTATTTTCAGAGACGTCTAAGCCGAGCGATCCTAAGTGTGCCGGCTGGTCAGCTACATGCGTGGCCTTTCGCCAGGTCACAGATATTCCGCCCAGGACTCGGCTGAAGGCTAAGATGGGCAGCGCGGCGCTATGCATAAGGAGGCAGGACAGCCCAGCACAAGCCTTGGCTCAAGTGGATAAGCCAGCACATGCTGTGGCAGCTGATGTGCTCAGCTAATGCCTGCCCTGAGCTCCAAGCGCAGTATAGCTGGCAACCACACCTCGTACCGATCCTTTGGTGGCTTCCGGCTCTACCGCACAGACTCTTGGCACGAGACTCGGATTGACGAGACCACAAGGTGAAACAAGAGAGTGCAGGTGCAGGCGGTGCAGGCCAGGGTGCCGGTCGCAGAGCCGACCTGCCACGGATCCCAGTGCCGCTGATGACACGAAGCCGATGGCGAAGAGCTTGGCAATGACCATGCTGCCTTGTCCAACTTTTCGAAAACTTGAAGAGGCAGGGCCTACGGAGGTTTCAGGCCCTCAACTCTTACCTCGTGGCGAAACACGCAGATGCAGAGCGCGGTGCTTTCGCGGAGAAGCTGGCAACAGTGGGAGCTTCTTCTGCCGAGCGGCTCAGGCCTCTTTCGGCATACAGAGCATACAGGTAGGGTCCTGCTCAAACGTCCCCTCGACGTTCCGCGTGCATAGACACTGGCTCCTTGAAGCCAGTCCGCAGCCACGCAGCTGAACCAGGCTGGGAGGAAGCGAGCCTGCGGCTCGGCTCCAAATCCAAACAACACACGTCTTGTTTTCGGCCGCCATGTGGCCTCAACCTGCTCAGCCTGGAAAGGCATCTGCCCAGGTGCGACTCCCTCTGGTCGGAAGTTCTGGCCGGCGGTCTGCCGGCAGGCGACCCGCCAAGCCTTGAAAGGGAGGGCGCTGTCCAACAATGGATGCGAAGTCTCCAGCGAAGCTATAGAGCTAGGACGGCCATGTGCCTAGAGACGCCTGGAACCGAACATCTACAGACAAACCATGTCTTCCCAACCGTCACTAGGCGGTGCCATCCAAATTCTCCGTCTCTGTATTTCGCAAACCATGTTGTGCTGGGATCTTGTACTCGCAACTCCAGTTAACTTTTTGGTAGCTTTTGGGGTAGCTTTTGGGATTAGCTCTTGTATCGCTTTTTCTGGCTTTGATTACTTTCCACGATGATCCCTTCGGCTAGCTTTTAGTTGGCTTTCCCACAGCTCTTTTTCAATATAACATGTGGATTTGTGTCCAGAGCACGGTCGTCTTAAAGGTAGAGACAGCCGAGATTCCCTTTCTCTCCGTGGTGTGCCACAAGAGGGTGCGAACCTACCTGCTGTAGGGCAGGTGATGCCTGACCAGGACACCAGTTAGACACAGCAGCAGGGTCCAGACGTTGCTAGTTGCATCCCCAACCCCTCAAAGCTAGCAGCTAGCTGATCACACAAGGACACAAAGAGGAATGAAATCCAGGCCTTTGGCAGCAAGAGGTGCCATAAGCAGGACCTGGCCAAGGTTGCGAACGAGCTGCAGCTTGGGCTTGGGCCGGGCAAGCGTTGACAGCGCCTTGGCTCCGGCGGCGAACGGCATCCGCAACAAATCCCAAGCCCCGGGTCACCGACATGATTGCAACTCTGACCCGCGAAGCTGACGCATTCATGATATCGTGAAACTTGAAGGCAGTCTCGGCTGCAACAACCTAGAGAGCCCTGGCGCAGACCCTTCTAATTATTAGTTTTGGGATACAGCGAGGTCTGCCACCATCAGCTCAAGGTGTTCTGTAGGACGGCGGAAGAGAGTGAAGGGTCCTAGTCGCAGACGCGCACTTTTGCAGTGACACGGGTGACGCTCTTTGCGTCGAGGGTATGTGCCGAAGAGTCACTTGCCCTTTGGACACCAATCCCCCTCACGTTGCGTGAAACTGACGGAAGTCACAGACCACTGTTCCACCGGCCTAGATGGGAGATCCCCACCTCCCCCCAACTGAATAAAAAAACGACAGTGACAGTGATGCTCACTAAAAGCTGTTTTTCAAGAGCAGGCAAAGATGGCCTGGGCCTGAGTCCCCTTTGAGGTGAAACCCGCTCTTGGTCGCTGTCACGCAGCGATCGCTTCGGCAGGGCCAGGCCCAAGAGCTGCAACCTGCAGAGGCGGCTTACGTACGTATGTATATATATGTATATATATATATATATACATATATATATATATATACATAAACGCTACCTTAATTATGTGTGTATATATATATATATATATATATGTGCCCCCCCCTCCCCCCACCCCCCTCAATACCAACAGACCCATGCGTTCGCAGCGGCAGCTGCTGCTACAGTGGCTGCTCCTACACCTGCCAAGGAGCAATCTCGTTGCAGCTACTAGTAGGAGCCCAAAACATTGTAAATACCATTAGATTCTGTATCGATTCTTTTGCGTCTACTGTTTATGCGCATCATAACACAGAACTCAAATTTGAAAACAAATACCAGTTTCGTGGCTCTGTTGCTTGTCGCGGCATATGCTCCAGCTACTACTACTTACTACTATTTACTACTTACTACTACTTACTGCTACTTATAACAACAACAACTACTACTACTACTACTACTACTGCTACTACTACTACTACTACTACTACTACTACTACTACTATCAAGCTCCTACTGTTAGTTACTACGACTACTGCTGCTGCTACTACTAATGCTACTATTATACATACTCGTGCTACGGTTACTGTTTCTACTAAATCTTAATCTTCACCACATTACTCTCAATGTTGGTTCATGGTATTAGACAGATTCCTACCACTTTTTGAAGTCTCATCAAGATGGTTGTATTCAACCACCACAAGAGTCATGATACTACTGCTACTACTACTACTACTACTACTACTACCACTACGGCTACTACTACAGTCAACTACTACAAGTAGTAACCAAACATGAACATTAATAACGTTCACGCTCTGGCCTTGAACCTGGTTTCCTACCACCGCCTTGCCCTTATGCTAGTAACAAAACTCCTGCCAAAATGCTTTAAGCCATTTTTCCATTCTCTCATAAAGCCAAAATATGTTCATTTTCAGTTGTTTAGGCGGGACTAGTAAACAACATTAAGACACTCTTTCACTTACACTGTTCTATTTCATCTACCCTGCAGATTTAACCATTTAACAGTGTACGCTGATTCAGAAGCATCACATTTATCATCCTTTTGCCTCAGGACTTGTGCAATCCTCTACCGTCTCTTAGAAAACAAATACCAACCGTGGTAGTGGTTGTAAATGTTGTACTGTTTCACATGACAACCAGACCAAGTTTCACCTAAATACCTACAAAAGAAATTTGAAACACAAATGGATGTCATTGTTGCTTTTGTTACGGTTTGATCCCCCAGGTGCGCGAACTGCTTTCCCCGAAGTACTGCTGCGATTCAAGGTTTCGGATTGAGTCCATGAGTTGGAATTTTAAAATGAACCCAGCGGCAAAGCACAAGTCCTCGGTAAATCAGAACGCTGATAGAGCACAAGAAGACATTCTGCACCGCGCGGGCCACTCAGCAAATTCTCTTTGGAAGCCTCCCAAAGACTGCCTTTTTTGAAAGAGTACAGCACTTTAGTTATGTTCTTGCAAAAGTGCTGTACTGTCCCAAAGAAACTACGTTTTTGCCAACCTGCTGTACTGTCACAAGAAACCAATCCTGCCCAGTCTTTCAGGCTAGCTCCCCAGACCTCGAAAAAGATTGGTTTTTTAGTGTTTTTTGCTGAAGTGCTGTACGGTCCCAAACAAGCCCAAAAACAATCTTTGCAGGTTAGTGGGGCAAGGCGGCCACTGGTTTAATTGACGTTTTGGGTGCCGCAGACATGCACATGCAGACTGACACAGGAGCCGTGAAGAAACCAAGAAGGACAGAGGACCACATTGAAATATTGAGGCCATATTGAATTTAAATATGGCGGAGCCAAGATCCAAGATTGCACGGGACTCCTGGAAGGAATCTTAGATTCAGGGAGGGCCATATTGAAATATTGAAGCCATATTGAATTTCAATATGGCGGATCCAAGATCTAAGATTGCACGGGACTCCTGGAAGGAATCTTGGATTCAGGGAGCTCCATATTGAAATATTGAGGCCATATTGAGTTTCAATATAGCAGATCCAAGATCCATGATCCAAGATTCCTCCCCAAGAGTCCCGTGCAATCTTGGATCTTGGATCTTGGATCCGCCATATTGAAACTCAATGTGGTTCAATATTTCAATATGGGCCGGGCCCCGGGAAAGCCATATTGAAATATTGGGCCGCATTGGGTTTCGATGTGGTCGGTTCGTGCTGTGATGAGGAGATGATCCGAGACATGTGAGTGGAGGGAGGGGTTTGTGCCGTCATGAGGAGACGAGGGCAAGCGGAAGAATGGTCGTGAGGAGATGCTCGCGAGGGGGAAACAGGTAAAAACAGACAAAATACATGGATCTTTGGGGGGGGGTACCATATTTATATATAGGGAGGCCTAAGGCCTACAGTAAGGCATTATATTTCGTGTTCGGAATCTTAGTATCTTATCATAGTATCACTTACAGTCTTCGGATAAGCGGTACTGGTATCTTATGGTGTCTGTGTGCATCTATTATTAGAGTATCAGTATGATCATAGAATCATACTGTGCCCGGGTTTGAAGCCGAATTCCCCCGGTCCGAAACATTTTGCCTGGTCCACAGGGAGGACATCTATCAGCTCGTCAGATGCCGGCTCCTTCCATAAAGAAGCTTGCGCAAGCGTCTTGCGTGAAACCCCTGACCTTCTGCAAGGGTTGCCCCGTCTCTTCCGCCACCAGGCGCTGCTGCTCTGCTGGACTGAGCTTCCTCGGCTGCAGCACTTCGAGGCACATGGATGCTCAAGTCTGAAGTTGTGGCGAGCGTCTCTCGCCTCACGACCTTGTCCTTAAATCCGATGCATGCGGATGCGTGCGGGGCGCGGCAGCTGACAATAGAACTCCGTTGATCTTCTCAGAACATTTTGCCGAGCCACGTTGAGGTAGCCAACCCTTTCGACTTCTCCAGACTCTAGGAACATTACTCCGCGCACTCGCACGCCACCCTTCCATTCCTGCAGTGGTATGGATGGCAGTGGGTCGCCATTGGCATGCAATCCATGTAACAGCGCACACCTCATGCAGCATAGTGCATCGGAGTTTCGCCAGAGAATTTTTCTCCAGTCGCTTGATATGTACACTTCCTTTGACGAAGTGCGAGGCTGCAGAAGCAAAGCAAGCATTGGAAAGGCATGGAAAGTCCGATGACCGCAAGCCGCAAGCACACGATGTCTTTCGATCCGAGCCAGGCGGCCCTTGACCAGACCTCAAACCTTCATGGAAGTCTCCCACGTAATCGCTTTCCTCCTCGGCAGATGTCCGCACTACCAGAGCCAATGCGCAAATGGCTGCTGGACTT